CTGTCTTTCTCCTGTGGAGGCTGGTGCTTTTGAACAGCTGACCCTGCGGTTAGCAGCCCCACGTGCACACTGTGACACCACCACCACAGCTCCATCAGACAAAGGCAGTTAATGAGCCAATGAGTCCTCCATGACGGGGGACCATGGGATGGATGGAGAGGAGCCACCAGGGGCTGCTGGCCGAAGTGGGGCCGACACAGGTATTGGATCAGCCTGTGCTAGGTTCTGTTTCTGAGACTTCCTGGGTAGGAGTCCGGCCATGACCCCCCCCACCCCCCCAAACAAACCATCACCAAGCTTGTGAAATTGATTCTACTCTGACGCATCGAGACCCTACAGCACAGGGTAGAACTGCCCCTGTGGGTGTCCGAGACTGGAACTCTTTATGGGAGTAGCCAGCCTTGGCTCTCTCCCATCTTGGCAGTTCATGTTAACCGGCCTCCACGGTTCCCCCTCTCCATGCAGTGTGCATGGGGGTGAGGCTTATTGGTTGTCTAAGTCATAGTCCAAATCCAAGCCCATCTTGGTAAGTAACATACTTATGGGGTCTACAAATGACAAGGGGGCCTGCTCTTCTTTCAGGCCAAAATCCCGAAGGAAAAGGACCATGTCTGGGAGGATCTCACACTTCTTCCCTTTGCTGCTCCTGTTTGGCCTCCTCCGTGGCTGGGCTTTATAGCCTGGGCCTTCACAGAGTAGGTGCTCGATAAACACCAGTGTAGCTGCTGCTGCTGCAGAATCAGACTCTCTGGCAAGGGTCAGGAAAGCCCGTAAAGGCGCCAGGCATTTGTAAAGAAAAAGTTTTATTTTCATCACGAGAAGCACACGGACTATGTACAATACACACCAACATAAAATAAAAAGTAAAAATAAAAAGTGCATTATGCATCTTCTACTGCAAATTCACAGTACAAAAGATACTGCCTTTTAAATATAAGAACAATAAAAAAACCAGTAAGATTAAAAAAAAAAAAATCACTGACACTGTTTAACATCGCCACCTGCTGGAAGCTACCGGCAGCTTCTGGAAACTGAAGACCTTTCCTTGAGGCGCCTGGGGTGGGGGCGTTTTGTTGCCAGAGACCTCAGGGCACCAAGAGGGCGTTGAAAACAGGGTAGCCGCAACGGTAGCCACGTCCCTGGGTGGCGCACATGGTTAAGCACTGTGCTACGAGCTCAAAGGTTGGTGGTTCACACCCACCCAGAGGCATCTGTGGGGGTGAGGGTGGGGGCAGGCCTGGAGCTCTGCTTCTGCAAGGTCACAGCCCTGAAAACCGTAAGATCACCTGGGACTGCAGTGAGTTGACATCAAGGTGGCACATCACCAGGTGACAGTAGCATTTCTGTTAACAGGGAGTGCGGGGGACAATGGGTGAGGGGCTGGGGGGGGGGGGGTCGGGTGGAGAGGGTCCGGACCTCGCCACCCCTCAGCTGGCTGGAACACAAGGTCAGGTTCTCCCAATGGTTACGTGTGCCATGGCCTTGCCCGAGGGGACAACCAGCGACTTCTGGTGGTGCCCGACCCTTAGATGCCTGCGAATGAACACCCAAGATCAGAGAGCATGGCAGGCCAACCCACATAAAGACCAGGGCCTGCTCAGGCCCCAACAGTCGGTGGTCACTGACGAGACCACGGATCCAATCACCAAAAGGGCTAACGGTTTCACATAAATACATAGTATTTGTAAACTATGATTAAGGCACTCAATTGTAAAACAAAAATTACAGTGTAGGGAAGGGATGGCTAGGGAAGCAGCAGTGATGTTTCATGCAGCCGGGCAGGGCCGGAGGGGAACGGGCGGTCCGGCCAGAGGGAACCGGGGAGCATGGCCAAAGCCGTTAGTGCGGCACGGGATGCAAAACCCAGCCGCGGCTGGGCTCTGCCGAGGGTTATGCTGCACAACGTGGCTCCCGTTCCAGAGACTTCTCTTGCTGGACAGTTCGGTGTGGAGGAGAGAAATGACACTCATGACTGTTGGATTCAAGTTCTGGGTCTTTGAAATGGCTAGATGCAGAGTGAACTTGTACGCTTCATTAAGATGCAAACAAATTAAACATACAGCCCAGCATGGGCTCCACCACCACCTCTGTTTGGCATGCAAGAGAACCTGGGGGTAGGGGGACAGGTGACCGGACTGTGGTTCTCCACATGTTCTCGCCCCTACCAGGGCTGAGGTGACTGCCTCCAGTGGGTTGTGTATGTTCGGGCCACGAGCCCAAGGGCGGGGAGGACGGAATGTACCCTGAATCTCCGGCCAATAGGAAGCAGGTGAGGTGGCAGGTGGGCTCTTGACTGTAGTTGGTGGTGCCCATGGGGAGAAATGGTCCCTGGTGGTGGTGGTGGTCAGGGAGGCTTGTGAGGGGACCAGCATGCGGGCCTGAGGCGGTGCTACAGCAATCTTGTTCTCCAAGGGGGTCAAGTATGACTGGGGCACCCCGGACCACGCAGGCGCCTACTCTGCACGCGCCATGCAGCTGGCCTGGGCCTCTGCCCTGAGACCACGGAGGAACGAGGAGGAGGCGGCGGCGGCTCGGTATTGCTAGTAAGTTGCTCATGCAACCAGTGGCTTTCCTAGGAGACTCTAAGGAACTCGAAGCAATAGAGGCTGGCCCTGTGGATCGTGATTGGGAGGGAGGGAGGTAGGGAGGGGTGGCGTGGTTTCCCTCTCTCATGGCCGGGTGCCCCCTTCTACTCAGCAAACCTGACGAGAACACCTCTGCACCCACGGAGGCTTGCGCTTCAGGTAGGGTGTGGCAGAGCAGCAGCAGGCTGACGGGGACAATTCCACAGGGGACGGACAGGGCCAGCTCTGCCTGGTCTTGTTCCTGCGACATCGGAAGTGGCCACTTGCCATCTCCTTACACTGGACGGGTTCTCGGGGCGCGTTTTGCTCTGAGGAAGAAGAGCGCGGTGCTTGTCTGTTCTGCCTTTTAACTGCACGAGGAAAAGAGGGTTTTCAAAAGAAGAGTGGGTGGAAGCGCATCTCTCTCCTGGCAGCAGAAATATGGTGGGGAACCAACAATAGCTTGTCACTGACAAATTAAAAAAAAGATTTGAAGATGCCCCACTCCTCCCGCCAAAAAAAAAAAAAGGATCTACCTGCCATGTGAAACTTAAATTGGCAAAACGTACTGAGCTGGCGGTTTCTTAAGAGATTGTGCTTCTGTTGCCCGAGGAGTGCGGGCGGAGAAACCCAGAATGCTTTCTTTCCAGACTCGAGTGGACAATGAACGACATGGTTTTCCAGGGCTTTCGGTTAACAGTGGTAAGAACTATATTCCTTTCCTCGAGAGGAAGATTCTATTCAGAAAAGGAGGTGGCCAGGGAGAGTAAGTTCCGGGAGAGGGTTTTTGCTTTTTGGCAAAACCAAAACCAAACGAAACCAGCACCCTATAAAACCCGCCACCCACTAGCTGGAATATGAACTAGCCTTGCTCCGGGGGCGGGGCTTGCCGGCCTGGCAGAACTTCAGAGGTGGCAGGTGGGAGGGCTAGTTCAGAGCAACATAAGGTGGCAGCTCTGTCCCTCACCTCAGCTTGTGGTCAGCCCTCCAGGAGGGGTGAGACGCCACTGTGGACAGCTGCCCTCCACACGCTGCCACACCACGCTGGGCAGGAGGACGTCAGGGAAGTGGGTGCTGGCAAGACTGGCCCACAGGAGCTTGGCTGGCCTAAGGAGCAGGGGAGGCCTGTGTATCTGCCCGTTTTCTTTTGGGGAGGGCTGTGGGGAACCCTGTGCCGCGGACACACGTCGACGACAGCAACAAGCCCATGGGGGCTGGGGAGCCACGTTCTCCCGGAGCCCCGGTGGGGTCAGGATTAGGAGGGCCGCTAAAACCGCAAGGCCGGTGGTTGGAAGCCACACAGCCACTCGGACGGCGACCTGACATTTTGACCTTACAGTCGAGGCCGCCCCATGGGGCAGTTCTACATGGGGGGGGGGCGCCCCAAAACAGGAACAGTCTCGGGCTTTGTGCACCACATGGGCGGATCTCTGCCGTGTGTTACTGACTTTGAATAAATACTATTTAAAAAATAATAACAACAATCGCTCTGAGCTCATTGGGCTGGATGCTGGAGTCTGATCCCTGAATGAAACCTTGCTTTCCTGGCCGAGCCTCCTGCCTCTTCACCGCGTTTTCACATTCGCTCACTCGGACCGGAGGAGTCTCGACTCAAGTGGGCCCCACCTGCGCCTGCCCTGGTGCTAGGGAAGACTGGAGAAAGACCAGGAGCTAGCCTGTCACTGCCAGCGGCGGGGGGCTGTAAACATCCGTGAGGTGCTTCCTGTAGGTGCGTGGCCCTCAGAGAACCTGCTTCCGGAGACTGATGTGGAGGGTCTTTCCCCAAGGTCAAAGGGCGCGTGTGTGTGTGTGTGTGTGTGTGTGTGTGTGTGTGTGTGTATGAAGAACGGAGGCGTGGCTGAGCCACCCATCCGGAGGGCACTTGGCCACCTTCCACAGCTAAGGACAACAATCCGGTCAGCAGCAACAGGGTCCGGGGACCCTTTGGGGCCAGTTGACATTCCCCTGGGTGGGGACAAAGGGTGACTCGCTTGGCTAAGTGAAAACCCGGTTGCTGGAGGCCACCCAGAGGCTCCTGGGAGAAAAGTCCTGGAGAATGGGCTTCTGGGAGTGACATCCCCGGGAGCACACGTCTACTCTGACACACGCTGGGTGCCGGCGGTCAGAACGGACTGAACGGCGACTTAAAGGGAAAGACAAACAAACAGGACGACTGTGACCCACACCCAAACTCATGACACCTGGGCTGGTCCTCCACCATCACACGGCTGTAACGTCACCACCAGGGCAAGGGGCTCCCCAGGACAACGCCGCCGTCTTCATCGGACTTCGCTGGGCAGCACTGGGTCCAAGTCGAGTGAGAAGTCTTCAAGGCTTTTTGGGGTCCCAAGAAAATGAAAGAAAAAGGAAAAGCACCCTTCTCTTTTTTGGAAGGAGAAACTACTTTTCAGACACAGCGTTTTCCCTGGAGCGAGCTGTGGTTGGTACTGTCTTTTAAAAGAAGCAGGAAAGCAGGGACAGAGGTAGGATGTATATTGCCACTCGTGGGTTTTCTGGCACGTCTGGCCCTGGCCGAGGTGCCACCTGCTGCCAGAACTTGCCATGGGCACGGAAGGACAGGCGGGCTCTGTTGAGGGCGTGATTTCACGGAGGGGCCTGCTGGGCATGCGCCGGCCAGCCATTCCCGGCTCTCGGAGGCCACCTCCCCTCATAATTGTGCTTCATAGGAGTTAGTTCGGTCTCTTTCCCTCCTTTCTACGGCGAGAGGGGGGACACGTGAAGACGACTCCCGTTGTGTCTTTGGGGAGGAAGCAAGGTGGGCAGGGGTGCTGGCCAGAGCCCAACAGGGAACGTGGGGAGAGAGCCATGCTTTGGGAAGGCAAGCCCCACCCAGCCCAGGCCGGGTCAGCTTCTGCTCCCTCCCGTGGGGCCTGGCACGTTTCCTGGGGCGGCTCTCCCTGATGGTGTCGAGGCGGTGGCTGTGTGGCTGGCGGCTGGTGGGGGCTCGGGCAAGGAGGCGGCCTCGCTGGGCCCGGTCCCCTGGGAGTCTGTGATGGTGGACCCGCCGGCCTCGCTGGCCAGGTCTTCAGTGGAGAAGTCGAGGCTGCCGAGCTTGGCCAGCGAGTGGGAGCGCTTGAGCGGGGAGGACACGGTGAGGCCGGCCAGCCGGAGCCGGGTCTCGATCTCCTGCGTCCGCTGCTTCACCAGGCCTGGCTTGCCGCGCACGCTGTGGATGCTGTCGCTGCTGGAGCTCCGGGTCAGGTTGGAGCTCAGGGACGACGACGCAGGTGTGTAGCAGATGGTCTTCAGGAAGTCCTTGGAGAAGTGGCTGGTGTGGTCCAGGCGGCAGAGCCAGGGAGGGGGGCTCTTGATTGGGGCTCCTTCCACCGGTGGGGGGCCGGCCTCTGACCCGGCCTGCTGGGGAGCATGGAGGGGAGCCAGCTCCAGGGTCTCCTCGGGAATGCTGGCCTCCAGCCTGCAGGGGGTGCCGTCCCGGGCGGGGGCCGCTGCGTCCGCCGGTGTGCCCTTCAGCCTTTCCAGCTCTTTGGTGTGCTTGCGGACCAAGCCTGCCTTCTGCAGCTGCATGAGGGATTCCTGGTGCTGCCTCAGGTAGCTGGGGGCTGGGGGCTTCTCGGGCTCTGTGCTGAACAGGAGCCGCAGGTCCTTGGCGGCCTTTGGGTCTTTCCTGGGCGGGGGCTGCTCGCAGTGTGGGTTCCTTGGGAGGAGGGACTTAGGCAGGGCTTTGGGACTCTCCCTGGAAGGTTCCAGAAGGTTGGCTGGTGGGGCGGGGCCGGCCCCGGGGTGCAGAGAGCAGCCACCCGGGTCTGGCTGCCTGGAGTCTGCTGGTGGAGGAAGAGTCTCAGGTGGGCCCGAGGCCAGCTTCTCCATGGCCTGGGACCTGCTGCATGGGTGGGCGGTGAGGTGGGGTAGGAAGGTGGGCTGGGTGCAGATGGCCGGGGTGCTGGGGTCCTCGAACGGCTCCCCAAAGGCTTCGGGGCCCCCGCTGACGGTGGGGTACATGCAGTCAGCACAGGACTTGTAGGAGGGCTTCACTTTGTTCAGGATCCTGAAGAGTACGTCCTGCTACAAGGGGACAAGAAGGTCGTGAACCGGGGCCATCAGAAGCCAAAGGTCAAAACATCTCTGGGGCTGCCAGCTGGGCTGAGGTCCTCCAGGAACCTGCTCGGCCCGGGGAAAATGGAGCTTTGGGCTGGAGAGGAGAGGGCGGACCAGCCTTTTCCAGAAACTAGGTGCCCGAGAGCCAGAGCCAGAGCCAGCAGCCACAAGAAGCAGGGCCTCCCTACTCAACCTGCCAGCACCCCTGCTCTCTGTGCCCTGCTCCGAGCCCTGCTCTTACCTGGAACACGGGCATCCAGCTCAAGCCCGCCCTGGTGGCTCGGCGGGTACAGAGCGAGAGTTTCTGGCTCAGCGGGCACCTTCTGCCTTGCATTCCCTCTTAGAAAGAGCTTTCTCTGGGGAGGCTGCCGCCTGGGCAGTGGAACCCAGTGTCCTCCAGAGAACCACCATTCAGCTGGGACCTTTACCAGAACGGGGCTGAGGCTGACAATGGGGTTTTGAAAGAATCCAGCACAGCGAGTGGCCAACCACAGTTGCCGCAGGTGTGTGTGTGTGTGTGTGTGGGGGGCACCTCCTACCCCACCCAAGGGGACCTACTCCCTCGGAGCTTCTGAGGGGAAACCTCCCCAGCTTCTGGGTGGTGCTATGTGCCGTCGGGCGCCTACAGGACAGAGTGGAACTGGCCCAGGTCCCCAAGGCCAGCTGCCATCCTTACTGAAGCTGACCGCCCAAGTCGCTTTTTCTCAGAGGGGCTGGTGGTTTCGAACTGCCAGCCTCTCGGTTAGCAGTCGAGTGCTGGACTGTTGTGCTGGCAGGGTTCTACGAGATACGATGGACGTGCATCCTCCCCTCTCCACCCCGCCCTGTGGACAGGCCGCCAGGCTGAGCAAGTCCCTCACGGGCTGGGGGAGGGAGCCGGCTTTCTCCGAGGTGTTTGGTTGTGAGGTTCCTAGGCTGGTCCCAAGTGAAGCCTTGCCAGCAGGGGGCTGGGACCTAGTTTCTTACCACACTGTCTCCCTGCCAAGGGACATGGGTGATGCCAGCGGGCTACCCAGAGACAGACACTAGCCTGTGTGGCAAGAAGGGCAGCCGGGCCCAGCCCTGGGGGACCTGGAGGAGCCCAGTTGTAGTTCAGGAGGCTGCGGAGACCTGGGGGTGGGGGGAGGGGAGAGCAGGCGTACCATGGACAGCATCTTTGCAGTGAGCTCAGTGCGACTGAAGTGCCAGCTTGGAGCCCACTCGTGCGACCTCTGTCCTGACCCATGGCCTGCGGCCCTGGGGAAACGCCAAAGCCACTGCCACCGATCAGTTCTGACTCACAGCGACCCCAGAGGGCACAGGAGAACTGCCCTGTGGGTTTCCGAGACCCTAACTCCTGACAAGGAGCCTCTGGCAGTGTAGCGGTTACAGGCTGGGCTGCGATCTGAAAGGCCAGCAGTGAGAACCCACCAGCTGCTGCAAGGGAGAGAGACGAGGCTTTCTATTCCCATAACCCGACCCAGCCTCGGAACTTCACGGGGCAGTTTTACCCTGCACTGTGGGGGCCCGATGAGCCATTTCTTTTGTGTTTAAAACTCTTGAAAGCCTTGTCTTTCTTCTGAGGCGCGGCTGATGGTTTCGAATTGCTGACCTTGGGGTTAGCAGCCCAGTGGGTAGCCAGTAACTCAGCCCTGGGTGGCAGCCTGGCATCTCAACCCAGAACGTTCTCTGAAGTTCTAACCAAAGCGCCTGCCAGGAACAGGGGTACCGAGCACCCCTCTTCTGGGGTGTGGGGTTGACATAGGCCCCCCTCTTCCGGGGTGTGGGGTTGACACAAGCCCCCCTCTTCTGGGGTGTGGGTTGACACGGGCCTCAGGAAAATGGAGACAGGACCACAGAGCCCCTGGACACCAGGTGCCAGCAGCGGCCCAGGCACAGCCATGGACCAGACACAGTCCCTGCCCTCCCGGAGCCCACTGACTTGGGGCGGCGAGGACCAGAACCCCAGGGGAAAGTGCCAGCACAGAGAGGAAAGGACGCCCTCTCATGGAGACCTTGGAGGCCTGCGGTGCTGCCCAAGTACGAGAGAGGTAGGGACAGGGCACTGTGGGCAGGGTGGGCACAGGGGCCATCGCCCCCCTGTCCAGCCTGAACTGAAAAGATCGTGTGAAGCCACCTTTACACCAAACACCCAGACCAAAAGACCAACTCACTGGCACAGCGTCAACGCTGCCTCACAGCGACTCTGGCGGGCAGGGTGGGACTGGTGGGCAGGGTGGGACTGGCGGGCAGGGTGGGACTGCCCCAGGTGGGCTTCCGAGACTCCTCGATGGAGGAGAAAGCCTGCCTTTCTCCCGAGGAGCTGCTGCTGGTGCCAGACTGCCGACCTGCGGGTCGCAGACCCACTACGCCCTCGGGCTCCACAAAGGAAACAAGTCAACTCGACCTCTCGGGCTGCGGCCGAGTGCGGGGCCGCTGTGCCGGCAGGATTCTACAGGACACCAGGGATATCAGCAGAAAGAAGGGGGGCCTCGAGCCCCTTCAAAAGAAACTGCAACACCCACTGCCATCGAGTCGGGGCCGACTCGGAACAGCCCTATGGGGCAGAGCAGCACTGTGGGGTTTCCCAGACGGCTGCACCACGCAGCCTGCTTGTCGGCCGCGGAGCCAGGCACCGCCTGCATCTGTCCATCTTGCTTATAAACACCTGGGGGCCCTGGAGGTGCTGCTGGGTCAGCGCCGGGTTGGGCTGCCCCAGTAAGGACGGAGAGCCTCAGGAGCCCTGCAGAGGGTCGCTAGGAGTGGGAAAAGACTCGGGGGCTGTGGGTGGGCCCACCAGCCGAGTTCTCTTACTCCCAGCCATGT